TCTTTATATGTCGACAGAAAATGATCTTTAACTAAACTTATCTATAAGAAATTTAAACACTTCGATCGACGTTTGCAATAACATAATATTGAATGACATCATCTTTTGTAATAATAGTAAATAGAAACATAAGAATGTGATTATCGATTTCCGAATCCGACGAAAATAATATCTTTTTTTAGGAAAAAGTTTTTGGTCTCCTTTTTTTGCTGACTATCAGTTGATTCTTGTCAATTAAGACCATGTACATAGAGTTAGAATTAAACTTAATCAATGTCGATATCAATTCAAAGTCAGAAAGACACATAGTATTACAACATATAAAAACAAAACTAAATTTTTTGTGTTATAGTTGAAAAAAGTTTCAATTTTGAAATATTTACATTAAAACACACAACCAAGAGCATAGATAATCAGAAAGGAGTAAAAGTTGAACGTTTTCTAATGATTCCGATAATGTTCACATTTCCAATATTACGTATGTTTGTCGCTTTTTAAAAAGTCTAAAAAAAATGACTATCATATTCTTACGTTCATATGGCTAGTTTCTATAAGGCAAGATATTGTCATCGAATATTATGTTATTTCAAAAATTGATAAGAATATTCAAAACTGATACAGATAAATTTAGTTAAAGATCATTCTCTGTCTATACATAAGAAAGTTTTGTCGAAATGAAAAACTTATGAAACACTTAGCTTATATATGTGGTACATTTTTCGTAGATGCGGTATAAACTTTCAGTTCAATTAACACAAAATTTTGATATGATGAATGAACTTGAATTTCATACTGCTATAGAAAATATTGCTTATACAGCTGACGAACGGTTTGTTTCAAGATTTTTTCATCGAGCTGAATGTCATTCACATTGGGATAATTTACAAGGTTTTGTTTTAATGACGAAATTAGCTGGTAAGGAAAAATGATCTTTTATTTTATTTTTGTTTTTTTAAAAATATATTTCGATCATTTCAACGTCATCTAGATATAGCTGCATTTTTTTATTTTACACAATTAATTGAAGAACTAAAAGAACCTATAAATGAAAAAATTCAAAAAGAATATAATTTACGGAAAAAATATGATGGTATTGATCGTGGTAAGGAAATGGAAATAAATTCTTTAGATTTTATAATTGGTATTTGTTTTTTCATAGAAAGTCGAGCTGGAAAACAAATTCTTGGGGAACATGTGGATTTACTTAAATATTCTAAATTGAAATCTTTAGGAAATATTCTATATGCGTATGTTGCTATTATTATTCTTTCTTCATATAAATTAATATTGGAATTAATTTTCAGACCAAATGTTGACGAACTACCTGATGAAAGAAAAAATCTCAATGCATCAGCAAGTCTTGAAAATGAAAATATCTCACTATCATAAATTATATAATGTTTTGTATTTTCTTAAAAAAAAAGAAATAAATATTAAAACCTAACAATAATTTGTCACTGATTCAAAAAAAGAAATAATCAGTAATTCGCCACATTCAATTTTTGTTATTATAAGAGAAGACTACAATTTGAAAATGAGAGAAAGAGTGAGATTGCATGTTACAATCTGCTTGTATAACCTTGAAGACATTGAAAACTATATGAATATGAAAAAACTTATTGAAATTTATTTATAACGTATGAGAATGAGCGATTCCGATAGTAAACACAGCTGGAGTCTGCCGATTAAAAACTACAAGGACATTGAAGTTGGAAGCATTTCCATGAAAACAATGAAATTCTTCATTATCTTTTGACAACAGACTAAATTAATTGTCCTAAAATTTATTTAAACAATATTTCTTCATCACAAAAAGATACATTTCAATTGAAGGATAGATATTTGGAACGGGCAATTTCGATACGATTTCAGTTCCAACAAAAGTCGATTTTACTTATGTGTTCCTAATTGTTCGGAATATGGGTGTACGTGTGTTTAGGTATCATAGATGCCCATCGCGGCTGAAAATCTACCGTGTCGCACTGCTAGCGCCATGGACATCAGTATTAGGTATGGATACGGACATGGATGCGGATGCCGGTCTGCCCTGAAGTCACCGAATATCACGTCCTCTCCGCATCCACATCCATGCTCAATCTTCTTGTCGACAGTCGCTTCTTTTCAACTAGACAGCATTTAACTTTCGAGATATTGGCTTTCGTCGGAACTGCACATGATTAACCAGATGAAACAATAAAGTTATAGAGCCAGTCTAGATGATCATTTGAATCGATGATTTAATGATCATATACGAAATTACTATGGATAAATCACGGTAAGTTTTGTTGGCCCAGTATCACTTTCATATTTACTTTGTATAGCTGTTTGCACCTCCTTGCTTTTCATTTTTTCTCTGTCTTTGAAATAAGTTTGCGATCCAATCAAACGTGTTGTCATAAATGAGTTCAAGCGTTATCTCTTGATAAAAAGCAATGTTTCAGTCGTGGGGATCATAGCGAAGAAAATTCAAAAATACTAGAAGAGCAATTTATTCTGCACCATATTTTGTGTTTCAAAGTAAAAAAGATAAACGAGTCATTGAGCTTTGACTGATTAGAAATAGACACTTCTCTATGATGGTCATCAAAAGAGAATCTAGATTTCGAATGCATCAATCAATGAAAAAGTCGATATTACATCATACATGTTCGCGCATTTCTATGTTCGTTTCCATTTTTGCAAATTGAAAATTTCATTGCTTTAATTTTTCTATTTAGATTGAAATTACGCTGTTCAAATCAACAACCTTGATTCGAAAATCAATGGCGAAGAACAAGGAATATGAGAGGGTTTGATCTTTAGTAAAAATTCGATTTACAGTTTTTGTGAGACGAGTGCTCTTCGAACAAAGCTCAGTGTAGAACTTCAATCAATGCGATAAGCTTGGTGACTATTAATGTGTTCATAACTTGTTATTTTATGTGTTATCTCAACATTTTAGAACTCAATCGGTCTCATAGTCAACGAAAATCTACTCGTTCGTATTCTTTCTCTTGTGGAATGTGCGTATGAGTATGGAGAATGATCTCTTTCCTTTTGCGAAAGCGGATTTTGGTGAGTATGATGTTGTCAGAATTCATAAAGAGAACATCTACACTAACATGCCGCAATCACACAGATCCTCGAATCACAACAATGAGGTTCTACTATACTAGTTAAAACAACATTCTCATCCACCTCTATTTTTCGATCATCAGTTTTACTGTCGAAAAATATGAATTTTTGATTCGGATTTAGTTATCTCGATAATACATGGCATTTGCAGTGAAAAATGTAGAAAATGGAGGGCAACTGTTTTCAGACTCTTTTTCTAGTTAATGTCTCTTGCAAGGAAATCAGAACTGAGATTTTCAACTAGGTTGTGATGTAAGCAAGCTCTTTTATTCTCCATGAAGGTCGAAATCTTTTTCTATGCACTCGTTTTATCACATCTTTAGCAATGGCAAACACTGTTTCTGGCAGCTAAAATTTCCAGTAAGAACATATAAAAGTATTCATCAAGTATTGTTTTTTCGATAGAGCTGTTTTGGTTGTTTTTTTTTTCAATCACTTTTATTTTGAGTTATGCGAGCTTCATCAAACATTACAGAAAGAAAAGGTGACTTGTCGTCCTCCAATGGTACTAAACTAATTGCGTAGTAGTTACCTACGTGACTACTGACTGTCGACATATTGTTTCGTTTATGGTATTAAGAAGGCTTCTCTTTCATCTTTTATCCATTTCATTTGAATATTTGTTGCATAAGACACGAAACAAGTAATGTAAATATGACACGATATTTACTCATTTCCATTAACAATGTATACTGGTGGGTGTGCTTTGAGAAAGAACATATGCAGTTCAGAGCTCGTTAAGTTAGTAAAGTATTTGAATTTATCTTGACTCTAGGAAGGAGTCTCCAAGTAACAGATTAAGTGTAACTTTAAAGCTTGTATGACTATACGGTATTCTGAACGCTTGTTCAACATTAGGATGTTGTGAAGAAAGCGTATAGTTGATGAATATTCATATTCTATTTTCGAAGCTTTGGCTTATCTTGATAGTATTGTTATGTTAGTGCAGAGATGACAAGTGTATTTTTCATGATGCGCTTTCACTAAAAACAAGTATAGAATCTTTCAATAACCTCAAGCGGTACAAGCAATGATGTTTGTTCATCATCACACAAGGTGTCATTGTCAACGCAGAACAGAATGTTCAGCAGTTGCTCGTCTTTCTTCCCATCGATAATGGAATTTATTTTTCTAGATACATTAGTATTCATTTCTTTTCAACCACATCTGTTTTTTTTTGTTTTGCACAGACTTGATGAAACCTTTCAGAAAGGAATTTATCATGCAAGTAAACAAACAACACGTTCCTTGTTGGAGAAATGCTGAAGTGGAGAGAAGAAATGGATTACAAGTGTCAAAGTATAGAGAGGAATATTGGTGTACACTTTTATTCATCGACACTGATTCATACTCTTTCTATTTGAACTATATTGTACTTCACTAAAAAAAATGAAACTAGAGTTTTTCTTTGTATTATATGGTGTGTGCAACGACAGAACAGAATGGCAGATTTTAAAAAGACACGCTCAACCCACCGCAGTCATCTCCATACAGTAACAACGTTGGAGCAACTATTGTCCGAAATTCTTTTCGATATTTTGGATTATCTAACGGGTAACGACATTGTCAGATCTTGCTATGGTCTCAATAGTCGATTCAATCAACTTGTCTGCAACACACCCAATGTTCATTTAGATTTATCTCGAACGAAAACAAAATTTTTTCGAACATTCCAACAAATATTCTGCAAACAAAATATAGTTTCGATTACATTATTATATGAAAACATTGGCATATTAGAAAGATTTTCCAGTTCATCTTGTGGAAAAAGACTTAAATCATTTTCTTTACTTGACGTATCACTATGCCAATTTGAAAAGCGGATACCCATGATATTGAGCAATATCAAAGTTCAGTTAATACGTCTAAGAATAAAGTTCAGCAATATGACATACACTGGAGTTGATGAGCATGCTGCTCCATCATTCGGGTATCTACTCACAGAAATTTCATCATTGAAATATTTAACATTACAATATTTACAAGGTATTGATTCAATAACTTACATGTCGTCAACGGTGGTCAGTGAAACTATCGTGAATTTAACGATTTGGCTCTCCAAAGTTGAACGTTTGATACCATTACTTTATCGATTTCAAAAATTAAGCGTACTCACAATGTATATGTATCGGAATGCAGGAAGGCCTACGAAACGAGCGGCGCCACCATAAAACATTGAATACTACTGGAATCAATTAAGAGAGAAAACATCTATGGAATATCCTGTTACATTTCGTCACCTCAAAATGTATCAGTACCCATTGGTGGTATCGGAAAATATGGAAAAATTATTCCAATTCGTAACTTCAAAAACTTTATTGACTCTGAGTTTATTCTCTTGTGAACGTCCTTCTGTTAAAATTCCGATACCGAGAAGACAACCCCCATTTCTCGATGGAACGCAATGGCATGATTTGCTGAGAAAATATTTATCATTAACGATGAAAAGATTCTACATCGAATACGAAGATGTCGATGATTCAATGTCGCGTACGAATCTTGTGCGAGTTAAGAAAGAATTTATGCAACATAGTGGACCAAATTTACCATGGGAACTTTCCTTTTTGTATGATAGAAATACAAAATTCATGTCCTTCGACTTAACTTTTACTTAGACAAAGTCTATGCAAAATTTCACTGAAAAAGTCATCTCGAAGAGTTTTCCTTGTACCATCATTAAGATTAAATAATTTATTGAATTTGTATGTTTAGTGTATTTCTAGGATAAAATGATGTTGAATTTCTTTTTCTAGTCAACTATATATTGTCTTGTCTTCAATTGAAACAATGTTTGAGCAGCAATGCTTTCAAGACATAGCATGTTTCTATATGTAAAAAGAGACGAATGACAGCGTTGACAAACGATTCCATAACGAAAGAGATTATTTTCGTAATCATTTAGGACCTATCACTCCAATGATAAACTGCTTTGTTGAATTTATCTTTCTGATCTGTTATACTGATGTATAGTATAACTTGCTGGCAATTCTTCAAGAGTTATGATGAGAGCAAAGCCTATCTTCAAAACTTGTATGCGCTTATCCATCGACTGAATAGATGTGATTTCTTTTACATTGAAAATTATTACTAGTGAGAAATAATGAATAGCTGTTTTGTCATTAGTAATCTATAGCCAAAATATGTTAAGTTCAATACCGTGGAAAGAGATTGAAATATCTATATTTTGTATGATCATATAGTTAGAAAGTAGTTTTCATACATTGAAAATTTTTTTATTAATCTCTGATGTGTTAAGTTGACTTGGAATCATGGTTCAGCTATGAGTTAGTTATATATTATTTATGAAACAAAGATTGAATATCATCTCATTCTGAAGTAAATTTAATCTTCGATGGCATCCTTGAAACTCGTCCAATACTGTATTGCTTTCTTCTGCTTTCGTTATTGAAAGCAATGACTGTATCTATCAGCATTTGCTGAAAAGATCTATACTGTAATGTTTGTACTTATCCACTTTCTTTCACTACTATTATCATTAGATACGCATCTATCATATAAAGTATACAGCTACTTTCGCTTATCTGACTTAATTTATCATATGATAATTGAATTTTAGATACATTCTTACTCTCAGATGATACAATGTGTACCAAATTTATGATGTGAGAGTATGCTTAAGGATATGCCCCATTCTTTTGAACAACGTTTGTCTCTCCACAAGAGTACAAGCAGCTGTACTGTGGTGAAAGATCAAAAGTGGTTCAAAAAAAGAAAGGATGTACACTTAAACTGCAACGTCATTCAAATAGCCATTTCTGACCAGTCTTCTTTCCTTATTTAGTGAATAATGAATAATGAAAAACGAAATATTTTGTTAGATAGGATATTTTTCACATTTCTAACATGTCCCAAACTAATATAGATTAAGTTTTTCTCATGAATTCGTTGATATTGAATTCTCGTTTCCATTGTGACTATTTTTCAAAATGAATAACGATGACATTGCTCTGACAAATTGTTTCTTTTTCTAAGTGATACTGAATAGAAAATAACCGTATCAATATCTAGATTAGCTGATCATATTTTCTTTCACTATAGCAGCAAACAACTTTACTCTAGCTTTCTTTTTCTCTTTCGATAATTATTGTATGAATATTCTGCTACTATTGAATATTTGATAGTACACTATTTTATCTAAAGTCCTCTGTATTCTTTCCGATCAACCCATATGTAGTATATGACCGATACATTCGATCAATTCTACTGTTAAAAAAAATGTTTAAATTATCATTGGTTTAATATTTTCATTTTATCTAGATCGATAAGCTAATTGCGTTATTTCTTCTATCAATATATACATATATATACGCATTGGTATAAAGACACCATTGGTATTTTTCTATAAAATTACTTGACGTCAGTTCGATAAAAATTCATATCAACCAGATACTCGAAACTCTGAATAATGCAAACATATAGTTATTGAAATCAACACAAATCCTATGTTGTCGATAGCATGCATGATTATTTTTTGTTTTACATTGTTGGTTTGATGGTCGGCACAATATATATGTTTTAAATATACAGTGATTTACAACGTTAGTTTTCATATAGGTTTTAAATTCTGTTGAATCTTTTGGATTGACCTGAATGGTGAAAAGTTATTAATATTGCCAGTTTTTATTGTTATCGCTGATGAATCATTATATTCTTATGGTCAACAAATGTTGAATCGTATACGCTAAATGATAAGAACAATTCTCATTGTTTTAGTATTAGCTCACTATGACGAATATCAAAATTTGTTCACACATGTGAATATTTTCACTATTTATTTAGTTATGTGACAATGGATATATGTTAAGCGTAAACGGGAAGAACATTATCTTTCGTATCCATTTTTAATTCTTCAACAATTATCATCATGTGTATCGACTTCTTTTAGGTCATTTTTCTTCTATGATTTCATATTTCTATAAATGCCTACTCAGGTCAACCTTGCTTTATTGTGGTTGTGGTCATTAAGGGGGCCCGCCCCCTCAGAAAATTCATTTTTTCGTAAAGTAATCGAAGTCGAGTTTTTATCATAGGAAGATGCAGCGAAGTTTCCTCTTTCAGAATATATATAAATTTTTAAAAAAAGGCCAAATTTTTACAGACTTTCATAGGAGATTTCTACCTCACTACCCGGTTTTCGGCGAGATTTTCGCGGTTTTTGTTATTCTTGGGAAGACTACTTTTTTACTTCTATCAGCATGGAATAAACATTCTTATATCATATAGTACGACCCGTAGTGCTAGCTTACGCCATCTATTGCGTGCTTTCAAAAATTCCACATAAATATTATCAATATACCATTATTTCCTGCATTTGAATGAAAAAATCCATTTCTAAAACTTCTTTAGCGTTTTTCTCAAAATGGTGGTCGAATTACGCATACGCACCAAAAGTCAAGTCAGTTATAATCCGATATAAAGTCAAATATTTTTTTTTCGTTTGAAAGAGCATGTCAGGATGCAGTGCCTATGAGGGCCCTTTTTTTGATAAAGCTTTCTTATTATTATATTGAAAAGCAACTTTATAATATAAGCATGATTTTTTTGAGGGATTTTTGAGTGATTGAATTTGTGAAGCCTTTTTTTCTTATCAAAGATAAGAATAAAAAAAAAGGGCCCTCATAGGCACTGCATCCTAACATGCTCTTTCAAACGAAAAAACAATGAACCATATTGAATGAACACCCATCGAGATTTTGTGCGTATGCGATAAGCTATTTTTCGACCCTTGTTTGGTTCGTAGGTACCTTATACATCAGGATAGAAGGCTGAAACTTTTATCACGTGCGTCCTATTACAGGTCCAACATATCCCCCAAATATCAGCCTGTTTGGATGTTCCTGGGCTGAGATCAATTTTTGAGGGGGGCCCTTAAATGATATGAAAGTTAAATAAAAATTATTATCAGTAAAGCTATATGAAATATTTAATGAATACACATTGAAGAATTTGCTAAAATTTATTGTTAACATGCTAATGCACTATTAGAACTTGTTTTTGGATAAATTCATTTGAATTTAATGAATTTTTTTAAAATAAAATTGGCTGTTTTTTTGGAAAAAGTTTTTGTTCAAATTTATTTTTTTCTCTATAGAAACAAATTGTTTCTTCATGTTCCAGTTTCGTTTCTCTTCACGTTAACGGACTTCTACAGAAGATGTGTCCAAATATGTCATGAGATAATTCATCATGTTAATTGTATTATCCATATGACTGTGGAGATAAACAAAAATACGAAAATGACATTGATTTCTTTATTGCTTAAATGGATTGGATTATGCTCGAAATTGATCGGGCAGACAACGACCATATGGATATTATTGAAATAATCAAGCTTATGTTTGTCACTGTTCAAATATTCGACCAGCACGATTATCTATCTCTTGGCCTTGACGATATTCTTTGCTTTAATATAATGTCATTATCTATATTGAATCCAGTTTGACCAATAACAACAAAACTGTGTACTCCATTGGAATGTATAGTCAGTATATAAATCGGTCATTCTATTATGGGAATCGTCCATTTATGTTGGCAAGAAAGTTCTATGCTTACTTTGTCCTATTGCGTAATTAATTTCTCAATTATGCTGCTATTATTCATCCTATGATGGACTATACAATTATTGAAAACATTGACATAGAGACTTAAACATAGAATAAATAATGATGAATTTAAGTTGATTTGGTTTTTAAATGAAAATTATTAAACAAATCAAACTAGGAACAGGAAAACGTTTTCATATGACGTGTGGCTCAATAAAAGGTGTTTTTCATACAACAAAATTAAGATTTATTTACGTTGACCTGAAGGAATTCAAACAATCTAATGTATTAATCTATTGGATATTGTTAGTATCAGACAAAAAGTTGTGTCATCTTACTGTTTCCTTTATTCTAAAGGTTTTCAAAATAGGAACAAATTATGGAAGTTCTACGTCAAATAGTAGGAATTTCGTGTAAATTATATTATTTATCCAGAAAATCTCTACATTACAGGTGTTTCATTAATATTAACATTAGCAATCATTGATACTAATGTCAATGCGTATAAAAAGTAACTTTAATGTTTTGTTATTATTTGTATTATAATTAATTAATACTGAACTGTTAGCTTTAAGTAAATATTATTGTTCAGTCTAATACATAGATTA